GGGGGGGGGGGGGGGGGGGGGTGTTCCATGTGGGGATAAATTGAGGAAAATACATGATTTTTAAAGAAAATTCTCAGGCTGGGGTGTTTCCTGAAGCCCACTAAATACCTCTCGATTCCGCCACTGATTACTGAAAGATTTTGTTCTTAAAAAAGTATGAATATTGACCTGGGAAATCTCATCGGAAATGCTGTCATATTTGACTACTTACTGTGATATCAATCAGATTACAGATTTTCGTCTCCTTTAAGCTTAAACTTTGACATTGTATAAAGATATTGACCAAGTTTCATCAGAAATGCTGTGTAGATTTTGCTTAACTTCAAACTTATTCCCAATCTTTGTAAAATTGTACATGTATGCATTACCATTAGTTTCATCAAATTTGAATGATATTTTTAAGGAAGTTGGACACCAAAACAATAAGTGTGCATGGACGAGCGGACGAACCCTCCCGGACATATAAAAAATAACAGATACACTATACTTAAACAATGTAACAGGACCAGACAGTAAACAATTGTCAAGAAAACCAGGAAATAAAGATATAAAAAAGTTCAGTCAGATAAGGAAGGAAGGAAAAGGAAGTTGATTGACACAATTAAAATATAACCCCATCTGATTGATTTATTGAATCATTTCAGCCTTGATCTCAATTGCTTACTGTAAACAACTTCCTTTTTGGTGGATTTTTATTTTCAAAAATTAAAATCGCTTTAAAGACATTCACATATCATGTCAATGATTTCACAATAGAAACAGAACATAAATTTCAGTACAAAAATGTACAAGAAAAGTATGAGGACACATGAGCGTATAAAAAGTATGCTTTGGAATATGTATTTGCACTCAAGCCTCTTGCTTTTTGACTAAGGCCTCAGTGATAAGTATTTATAAGCTGACAATCAACAAATTTCTACCAGGCCTGATTAGATATAATAACTACCAACTTCTTCACCGACTAATAAACTGTATACCTATTCATTATTCCATGTCATCGTCATACGGCCAAAACCTTCCTGGTTCCAAAACGAAAGTGGAAATTCCGTCAATACTCGGCTATTTCCGTCATGTACGTACGCGTACAGTCGGAACTCCTTGGGGTTTTCCATGACCCGAATAACAAATCGTCAAACAACATGGCGGGCGATTTGAAAAGATTTGTATTTGAAGAAAGGGAAAACACCCGGCGTTACAATGCAAACATAGATGCAATTATAGAGAAGGTAAAATAATTGCAATAATGAATATGATATTATACATCCATTCAGAATATGATTCATTCTAAGAAGGGAATGATAGGGATATCCTCAGCCTCAGGACCGGCTGATGGATTTACCCTCGGGGTAGCCTAATGAAACGGTACAGCAACATGTTTGGCCTTACACATTAAAACACACCATATGGGTTGCAAATAGACTACATGTAAAATTATTTATGATTCTCATCGCCCGTAATAACGATCAATCCGTTCTGGGCCGTCGACCCATACCCTACTGTAGTCGTTTCGGATCTCCCGGTGTTGATATGCCTGCGTTCCAAGGTTTTGCTATTTCAGAAAGTTACTTTCATATTTTGGAAAGACGCAGATCGTAAATGACACATAAACGTCTTATATAAATCAATATGTAGTATGTACACAAGCCCCTGGTTAATTTTTTCAAGTGCTAGATATCGACTGCTGACCAAATTTTGAGCCCTTCGGTGTGTAACAGGGAAGAGAATAATGTGCCTCCCCGGGGATCGAACCCATGACCTCTTGGTTCCTATTCGAACGCTGTACCACTGAGCTAAAGGGAGATTCCCTCTAGCTCAGCTAGAAGCCGACCGTCATCCTATGTACAACTAAAATCTGCTACATTACTCCAACCCATTTTTAAATGTGTTTGCCCCAATACACCACATTTACCCAGGTTCCAACTCACTGTCACCGTTGGCCAGGTAGGGCCATGAACACCATTTGTAACAGGAAAGAGAATAGTGTGCTTCCACTGGGGATTGAACCCACAATCCCTAGGTTCCTAGTTGGATGCTCTACCACTGATCTAAAGGGAAATTCCCTCTAGCTCTAAGCTAAAAGGTGACTGCAATCCTATGTACAGTTAAAATCTGCCACAGGTGAATATGCTAAATAAACAAGAAGCAAGAAGTGTTAACAACTGCAACAGAGCATAATAAAATTATCAGGAGATCTAGAGTATTGTAGTTATTTGCAGAATTTAAGCGTATTGTGAGGTAACTATTGAAGTCACATTTTATAAATTGAATATATTGATCATGACCTGCTGTTTCTAAAATACCAACACCCAATTCATCTATTGTAGTTTTGATTCACATGTAACCATTTCTTGGCAAATTATAGTTCATAATATGCAGACCTTTAAAGTATTGATTTATTGCAAATAGATTATTTTTTCCTTTTTTTTTCAGTACGGAAAACCTTCAAAATATGTTGACATTGTGGATCTTGATAACTTAGAAATAACAACAAGTAAAGGTATGTTGACTCCGAGATAAACCCTGACTTGGGTCAAGTAAGTTTCCAGTATAATAGAAAACAAACTAAATACTTTCAGTGTTTTGAATTTTTTGTCTAAAGTCCCATTGCCATGGAATTCATGCAGTGAAAATGTTTCATGGATTTTCCTTTGTGTTTCAGGCAATGATTTTTAATGTAATAATATTGCTCAAGAATTTTATGGTATGTGATATGGTAAATAGTGGGAGAAATGTAGAAACTACCATGAAAATCCGTTCAAAATACTTTGACAAACCTTGAAGAAAAAGAGATTACAAATCTGCATTATGTTCATAACTTGTGGTGTTCAATGGTGATAAACCATGTAAGATGTCTTATATAGTGTAAACGCTTATTTTTTTCAAAACTACCATTTGAGTTATAGAACTGCCTTGTCATGATGAGCAATATACTACAGATTGTCAATTGAGCCATGTTATTTTATGCCTTTCTGCAAACAGATATATTCCTGCGAAATTTGCCGTGTCCGATTCGTTACGAACATAAAATCACTATACAGCAACCTAAACCTTCGGGAGAACTAGACGTGGTTTCGTTTCGTTTCTCAACCACAATGTATTCCGTAATTTGTATTGATCATCATTTATATTATACATGTCTTGAATATGTGCAATTGAGCACAATGCTTCATATCATTACAAAATGCCCTAAAGGAATATTATTAAAGGCTGTAATTCACTAATTATGTAAATATACAGTAGTACTCTGACAATCACATGGACCACCAGTAACTTTTAAAAGAAAAAAAAATCAATACAAATATTTTACATTCTAAACATGCAAGCAACACTTACAAAACGTGAATGATCTAGCCAAATGAAAAGCTCACAGCTAAGGTTGAAGTTTTGTTTTATTTTTCAGGAATGCTACGCAGACAGGTACCTAGGCATTTTGGTCACACACGATTACAACACACAAAAAGACAAGGTATAGATAGCTACAAATGTATGAACATTGGGACGTCTCAACTTCTATCTCAAATAGTTGACTTGTTTACAAATATAAATCTTTATGTGAATACAATAAGTTTATTCCCTTGTGAAAGTTTTGATCTCCCAACAATGCCAATTACTATTATTTATTTATATAGACCTATATTATATATGTAAACATCTATAAGTTGTGGTACAAGTGTTGAAACCCATTAACATAACTGTAAGGATTTGTACTAGGGTATGGTACAAATTTCACTAGGGGTCCAATATTGATGCAGTCATGATCATATTTCAACAAAAATCTTCTAACTAAAGTTTTGATGCAAGTGTTTAATTCATAAATGACTATTTCACGGTGGTAAATGTTCCTGAGGATTTCTACATTGGAACAGGAAATGGTGATTTTTTTTTAAGTTTTTGGCCTATTCTGGTCTTATACAAAATGTTTTGGGTCAAGATTTAGCATAGCTTCAGTAAGTAATGAAAGTCACTTTATTATAACATTACCTTCAGTTATTTTACTAGGATAATTGTGTTCGGCGTGGAGGTTCCCGAGGGCAATATTGCTGCACAAAAGAAGAAAAAAACAGTGTTTTACCTGTTTTGGACTTTTTTTGCTGTATATATATGCCAAAAGCAGCTAATCAAATTTTCGGTACAAGTGATAAAATTCACAGTGAATAATATAACAACAGATATATACCGAAATGGTGGTATTTGGCATGCAATTTACTGCGGGGTCGAACATTATTGTATAATGTATTTTGTTTTCTTTTGTAATCTTTTATATATAGATACCTGATTTAGATGTACCGGTACAGTGTAACTATTCTTGTTGGAATATTCTTTAAATCTTTGACTATGTTGTTCTCTTACAGCTCTTGTTTTGTTTTGTAGAAGAATCCATGCTTATTCCAGAGGACAATAGCTTGCTATCCTGTTCCTTGATCAGTACTGCTGACAGTGAGTCTACAGAATACGGAAGTAAGGTATGGTTTTACACTTGCTAAATTTGCAATATATATTTTTTAATTTCTTAACATCCAATGATTCTAAACATGGTGACCCAACTGAATGCTAGTAAATGACATATTGTCTTATATTTATTTAAATACCTAGATCATGCAGAGCTTGATTTTTCTTTTATTGTGGAGAGGTATAATTTAGACTTTCCTGTTTGCACTTGTGTCGCTCAGTGTCAAGAGTCAGTATTGTATTTCAAAGCCAGATATAAATTGCCACATTTCTGCCCCTTGACCTTTAGTGACCTTAGCTCTTAATAGGACGCTAAACAAAATTAAACCAAACCCTTGACGTTTTAAATAGGGGCCAAACATATGTTTTTTTGTGAGAATCCCACAAAGGTCTTAAAAAATAATCCTTGAGAAATGCTATGTTGTTTATTTTTGCAGCAGCTAAATTCCTCTGGGGGATCATTTGTGCCAAGGACTGATGTAAGGCCAGATACAGGCGGCTGGCTGGACAGGTCTAGGCATTCTCATCGTAATCTAAACACATTCTCTCTGTCAGAGCAAGAATCTAAATGTCCCAATCAGGGGCTGGATACTTTCTCCCTCGCAGAACAAGTAGATGATGCTGAAGATGCTGGTGAACTACTTTCACTTCAAGGTATGTTTGACAGTCTTATTGTCAGCACACCAGGCCAAAAGGACAGGTGACCAGGTGTCAAGGGGGGTCATCACATATAATCCCTTTCCTTTAAAAGCTTACTTCCTGAATGACTGATCAAGTTTACACCAAATTCACTTCAATGCATCCAGAAAATCAAATGCTCTTAACAAGAAGGGTGTAGTTTCCCTCGAGGCTGGGCCCAATAGGGGAAATTGGTGGATTCCAGCCTTCAAAAGATTAATTCTCCTGAAGAGCTTGGATTTTAACCATATGATTTTACTTTTTATCATTGACAAGACAAGGGAATTCAATTTTCATTAAATGAAACATGTACTCACTCTAAATCCGAAAATGCAGTAAAGTACAAACTTTGGTAATTTTATTGGGGCCCCACATCAGAGATGAGAGTGCCCTATAGTAATCACAGTATCTGTCTGTCCATCCACACTTTCATTTCCAGAGATTATCTCAGACTCCAAAAGACTAATTTTCTGAATTGTTAATGGTGATATACTGTGAAATGCAGTTTTGCAATAGCAGTTTTAAAAATTTCTAAGTTTAAGGTCAATGTCACTAACTAAAAATAGAGTGTGGGGGATACAATCCTTATCTCGGAATCCAAATGTCTGATCTTTTAGAAGTTTGACATGTTGATACAATGTGGTATATAGATGTGCAATATGGGTTTAAAAATATTTTTAAGATCAAGGTCAAGATTATTTACTAAAAAATACACCATAGTGGGCTACTGTCAGGCACATTGTAAGGCCCTTGCTGACCTGTCAGTACTCTAGTTTTCTAAAGACCTATTTCCCTGAAATACTACACAAATTGGTCTGAAACATTTAATGGAGCAAGATAAAATCACATTTTGCATAAATGAAGGCAGTGTAACCTGTGGGGCTAAAAGGACAAGGCTTGATATAAAAAAGTGGGGTTTTTTTAACTTAAAAATCTTACTCTTCCTTAATGGCTGCACGGATTGTTATCCTATATATTGTCAGTAAATAAGACAAGGATATCATATTTTTATAACAGATAATGTTTTCGCTGCTTCTATGGAGAAAATTGATTGGTCAAATGAACAACATTCCAACCTCTGCTTTAGATGTAGGCTATATATGTGGTGTATCAGGTCATGGGTTTGAAGGCATGTGATCAAACTGCAACAGAAGTGGAGGTTATACGTCAGGTCATTTAACCATTTCACCCTGGGTAACTTTAGTGGACTATTCCATGCAGATATTGGGATGAGTCAATTATTGTCTACAGTGGTGAAAGGGTAAAAGGTTAGGATTTGCCAAAAATGCTTTCCATTTGTTGGATTAATTCAAATCCAAACCATGTGTCAGAAAAATGGCAGGTCCCGTCTCAAACTGGCTGATGTTAAATACCAGGACCTGGTTATATACAAAATTGTTTGTGATTTCCATCAGCATCAATGGTATTCACGGTTCATTATTGTGCTAATCAATTTAGAGTTAAAAGTCCTTGGAAATGTAGCGTTTCACTGGTCACCCTTACACATGTTCCCGCTAGTTATGAATGAAACATTTGTTTAAATTAATTTGATATTCAGAAATACTGAATATAATCACTTATGATTTATTTCAGACCTGGGGTCAATTTTGATGCAATGACTTCAAGTTTAAAATAGTTTTTGCTTTGATATATTTATTATTAACACAGTCAGATAAAACTACCCTTGATTTTTGTTTATTTTAAAACTAATATTGAGCTGATTATATCATTTTTTAGAGACAATGCTTACATTCATTAAAGAGGACATTGGAGAACCTAGTGATGCGGAAACCCTGAGCTCCTCGTGCACCTCTTCAGAAACCAGCAAACAACATGATGCTGATGTGATGGACAGTGAGGGTGTGATCCAGATTGAATCTGATGAATCAGAAATAGACTCTGATAAATCAGATGTCGGTGACAACACAATTTGTCAGCGAGAGAAGGAGAAGGATAAGAACAAGTGGAGCCCACAGAATCGTAGAGGGATGGGAGATGCTTGGTGGGACAGAAAGGAGGACCAATTTACGCTGATATCCTCCTCACAGGACAGTGATGTCTCAAATCTTCATGTAAGTCCCAGAGTTTATGAATGGATTATGAATGGAAATCAAATGCAATGTATGTAAAAAAAAAAGAGCTGTCACTTCACACTTTGATTTTTTTCATTCAATCTGGATACACTTTAAAAGCTTTCAACTCTTTCATTGAGATTAACTCAAGATTTGAAGACACTTTTCATTATGTCAACAAAGTTGCGATCACAACGCCTATTGTAAACTGAATTCAATAAATATTTCTGCAGTTACCTCAACATGTGTTTAGTTTCTCTAATTTCCTGCCTTCTGGAAAACTCTGAGTTAAACATTCACATAAGTTTGATAAATTTAAAGAAAATATTGTTGGAAATACCTTGTCCGTCAATTAGAAACAAAGGTAATGGGTTTGTTTTTCATTTGCACCAAGTTGTGAATAGCAAGAGAGATGTGCAATAATAAGGTATACATGAATGTGTTTTATGCTGTTTTATTATCCATGTTGCACTGTTGATTTTCTGGATGAATTTGATATTAAACACTTTTAGTCAATATTTCATTAGGATATATTGCTCTTTGATCACATAACCATGTACTTACATAAACCAGAAAAGTATTCACAATCAGGATTGACTCATCTTGGATGAGTTTGCTACTCAATATGTTAACTTGTTCTCTTTTCTTTGGAGCTATTGTCGAGAACTTATTTCATTCATGATTGTCTACAAAAAAAGCAAACCTATTCAATTTCAGTCAATGTAGGAACTGATTGAAATGCCTAGAATAATTATCTTGCTGTAGCAAATTCCATTACTTTTTTACTCAAATCAAAGTCAGGAAAATTAATTTTCAAAAAGTTAATTAACACAGAATCAAATGGGAAAATGACGTAACATGAAAGACAAACAGCATATCACTGAAGATAAGATACGGAATATTTGTTATGCTGTTCGGTCAAATTTGCCATGCTATTAGCTGATCTGAGCCTCTTGTTCTGGTATAAATAGCTATATCCTTGTCCTTCACATTGTAGGACGGAGTCCGATCCTCAGATGGTGTGGAATGGTCAGTGAATCGGAGTCCATGTCCGCTGACAAACACATACAGGTGGAAGGGTAATGACGAATATCACCATGAGTCTCCTACTCACATAGGGACTGGTCGACCAGCGCTAACTGAAAGGCAGTCTATTGTTTCCTTATTGCCAACAGTTGATAAACATGAAAATCGAAAGAACTCTCCAAAATCAGTTTTTAAAGTTATGAGATCACCAGCAAAATGTAGCATGGTAAATAGAATATCAGCTCAAAGGGATGAAGTTGACGGAGATAGCTTTGGTGCGGAAGTTTTACATGGTGTCCTTCACAAAAATCAACAACAGAAAGATGATTTACACAAACCAAAAGAATCCTCTAAGATGCCTTGGAACATTGAGGGTAGATTTTCCAAACATATCATGTCAGATGACGTATTAGGAAATCAGGACTACAGCACAAACCATAAGGAATTCAGTGGTAGACCCGAGTCAAAACTCAGGACAGAAGTGTTAGAGACCGATCAACAGTTGAAGTCAAGACCACTAGTAAAGAATTCTCAATCTCAGCGCAGCTGGACACCGCTACCAAGCACCACCAACAGAACCAAAAGTTTCAAGGAACTTGTTAGTAAGTCTGTGCCTAGTAAACTAATGGTACAGAATCTCAAGGACTTACCTCGAGGAGAACTGTCTGCGTCCACGATATCAAAGGATCCACTTACTTCCATGGAAAAAGTTTACCGATGGCTTTCGCCACCCACGACTACCTTTACTGACCAGAGACATAAAGTGAACGCTCGTCGACGTCTACAACTTGCCACCTCCAGTTCCGACAATATCGTACTAGACAACAAGGTCTATGACAACAAGGTCTATGACAACAAGGTCTATGACAACAAACTTGGGGTAGGGTTGATACCAGAGGAACGGAAAGTTAATACAGACTGTTTTGAACCAATGGATTCTACCTTTGCAGAAATGGACATGGACAGTCACCATAAACAGGTAGAACCTAAAGGAAGGCTGAACATAGAACAACAACCAATGATGCGTCAGAAAGAACTGCATAAACATAGCTTGACCCAAAGACTAACTACAGCATGTAACTCAGGCGAAAACTTCCGCTCTCCAGAGAAACAACACAGAAGTTCAAACATGTGGGAAGATACATATGTACCTGAGAGACAGCCAGTTACACCAATCACAGATAGGAAAGAATGGAAAAGTCCTAGTAGTGCTCGCCAAGGCTTTCAAATGAGAAGTCCGTGGGAGAGCCCTAACATGACACCAAAACGGAACAAGAATGCTCTTTTAAGCTCTGATGTCACCAGCAGCCCCCGTGACAGTATGTCACCGAATTCTAACAGCCCCTGGAGAAGTAGAAGTTGTGGTCAAAGGTTTCACCCCTACTCTCGAAGAAATCCAGATTCTCCATCTGCCATATTTGCAAGACTTAAGCTATCTATATCTTCTCCCTCCTCTAATAGAGAGGACACTGCACAACAAAACCATGTGGAAAAAACAAGCAGCACCACAAAAGTCAAAAAGTCAGCAAATGTACCTTCACCCAGACAGCCAACAAAGAATCATAATATCAAGAATGAAATGGTTTCTCCCACAAAGTCGTGGCAACAGTTGAAGCAAGTTGCAAAATGTCCAATGTCAGACAGGTCAAGTGAAGAAGTATTTCCAGCAATTCCAAACCAGTATCACAGGGATTCATCTGGGACATTTCAGCCAAAAAGTCCCTCTGTTGAGCAGGGTAGAAACACTTCTCAAGAAAAGCCTTCCAGAAAGCATGAAACCCTGATGTCTTCTAATAGAGGTCAATATTCAAAGAGGTCAACTGATTGTGAGGGTAAGACAAGATCATTTGATATCTTTGATAAAATGGATCTTCAGAGCTCCTCAAAAAGGAAACCAGTATTGAAAGGACATCATTTATCAAAGCCATGTGCTGGATCTCTGCAGAATGATGAATTAAGTACGTCTCACAAATATATAGCACATAAACCTACATGTCAACAGAACAACTCCAGATCTCCAGAAAGACTGTACTCAACATACCACATTAGTAAATCACAGCAGGAAAGGAAGGAGCATACTGGTAGAGATTGGAATTACAGGAGCCAGAACCCTACACGTGACATAGCAGTAACCAGCTCTCCATTTAGTAATGCAAAAACTTCTACAGGTCAAGATTTTATCAGAAAAGAAAGCTGTCACCCAGCTCCTAAACAACATAAGTCTGTACCTAAGACTGGTGCAGTTGAAGTGGAGAAATCACAACGATTTGTGTCGCCAACACGATGGAAGAGAGAAACACAGGAAAATGGGGGCTCCAATTTGTTTTTCTCAATGCAAGACAGTGGTGGTGAATGTACTTTTAAAAGCAATCGTGACTGTTTAGAAAAGCATGGTATTATTATATCAAACTCATACAGATCCAATGTTCCAGACAAACCACTGCAGTCCACATGTGAATCTCCCCTTGTTAAGATCAGCTCCAAACCTAAAGCAGTCACACCAGGACGCACTGCATCTTTACAGACAGGAAGTAAACTCCTGGAATCAAGATCACACGAGAAAGGAAGTACTATGATGGACAGGGCTGAAACATTTAAACAACCAATGGGTACATTTGTCAGTCTGAGAGACAAAGTATTAGCCAACAACCAGCGACACAGCAGTACACCATTGAAGCACACCCCACAGTTCATACTCAACGACACTCTCTCCACCATTCATCCATCAGCCTCGGACACCAACTCAGATTCCTCGGAGGAAATGGTGCTGACTATAAGTCCAACCTATTAACAGGATAAGAAGTCTAATTACACACGGTTGTCAGCTTTGCTAAAATATACTGTATACATATATAGATTTCTTTTCATGAAATCAACATTTTGCAGGTTTGCTTCTACAAAACCAGGCAGTTCATATTTTATGCTACACTGCTTATAAATAAACCTTGTATATTTTTTATATCGGTTTATAATTTGACACAGCTTTATAGATTTATCGATATCAAAGATTTACTTTCTACACCAACAATGTACGTATTAATGGTGTCGCAACGTTTCAAGACCGACTGATCCCTTTGACAAGCTATGACTGAGTGAGCGATTTGTATTTTTTTTACCTGTACAACAATGTGACACACTGCATCAGATAGGTTACACAGGTAAAAAATACAAATCGCTCACTCAGTCATAGCTTGACAAAGGGGTCTTGAAACATTGCGACACGTTTAATACGTACATTGTGTGTGAAGAAATTAAAACTTTGATATCACATATTTCCAAACTGATGAATCTTATTGTAATTATAATTCTATAATTGTGACAAAAATAGTGAAATACAAATCCCATTTTAATGATATAAAAAGGGAGAGATTCTTTTGGTGCTTTCCACTTGTCTGTCTGTTAGACTTTTATGTACAGTAACTCTGTTGTTTTCTTTGGCCCTATAGTTCTGTATACAGGGAAGTTTTCACAGCAATTCAAATTTCGTCTTATCTGACACCACAAATCATTTTTTGGATGAATTCATTATATCTGTTAATATTAGTCACACAGCATACCATATAGATTCTGTAATGTGTGTGAAGGGTAATTAACACTGGGTGACCATGGAATCTGCCAGTGAAGGGTAGAGTTAACACTGGGTGACCATGGAATCTGCCAGTGAAGGGTAGAGTTAACACTGGGTGACCATGGAATCTGCCAGTGAAGGGTAGAGTTAACACTGGGTGACCA